GCTCTGCTAACATTTTATTGAGATTCCGAGTGCCTGTACCACGTAAACGGCTACAGATTAACTTGAGTTACTACAAATTTAATTTTGAATTTTGATGTATTATGTGTAATTTTTAGAAAGATCTATAACTGTCTACGAGGTAGCAGAACGAGAATTCAAAACTAAATTTGAAGATTAAGATATTCTCCGCATAATTTTATTTCTACAGCCGTTTCCAACATAAGGACACCTAAAATCTTTAAAAACAAATATTTAGTTAGCTCAGACTGCAGAATGATTCCCAGAGTCGTTTTCGTCGCGCTGTCTCTCTTGCACTCATGGGGCATCCCGCGTAGGTGCGAGAGCGAGCGAGAGAGACAGAGCGACAACAACGGCTCTCAGTCTTCTGGTCCTTGTTCGGCCGGTGGTGGCCGCAGTACGCCACTGGAACGCCGACTGGCGCCGCGCGACGCCGTTACATCTCATGCAGTCCGCAAGTCCCAATAAAAGCGTCCCATTTGGCTGCGCGGAGCCTCCGTCCCTCCGCCCTCGGCGGCGCCACTGTGTCTGCACCGCGGGGGGAGGGGGTGCCCCACTTACAAACAGTCTGCATCTCCGCAGTTTTCGCGTCTCCGCGCGTCTCTGTGGCGCCGGAGCGAGAGCGGCTTTGCCCTGGTACAGTACCTGATGCAGTCCGGCGGTACAGAGTACTCGTCGGTAATTACGGGTGCCGCCGTTGAAAAGGCCCGAGTCAATACCTGGAACAGGAAACGGCACGGCATTAGCGGCAAAGTCGGTGGAGTGAATTCCGGGTAGACTCGACTGTAAGCACGGCGCAAACAGAGTGCGCCGGGCTCTCGATGACCACTTCGACGGGTACTCTGCGCAGCCATCATTCGAGTGGAGTTACCCACTTCAATTCACCCAGTCGTAGTTTCCCAGGAACAAATGTACCACCATCAAGTTTTAGAGAACGACTTTTGAAGTCTTTTCATTTGAAAAAGGAAAAGAAACAACGACTCATTAAAAATGCAAAAAAAAAGTTTTCAACCAGATTCTAGCAGTGAAATCAGAGTACAAAGTTCCGTCAAAGTCACATCAAAATCCCATAGAAAAAAAAACTTCGGAGTATTCCCACACTTGCATGAGGGGTACATCGAAGAGCATACGAATCCTTGTAGGGCCGTAAGGCTACTTCGTGCCTAAAAGAACGTGGTTGGCGGGGTAACGGTGCCTCTGAGTTACCAATCCCCGTCCAAACCCATTGCCTCCAAAACCCTGGCGCCAGTTCGCGGAGTGCGCCCTGCTTCGCCCTGCTCCGCACTGCTTCGCTCTGGGCTTCCCTCCACCACAGCTGCGGCCGTGTCCTCGCAAATCCGCGCTGAAAGTACGACACGCTGATATTAAGAGAGGACACACATGCACAGACAAACAGGGCGAAATATGGCAGCGCGCGCGGAAAATAATAATAAAAAGATCTCGGCGCGCGTCCGCGCGATAGTGGGGGAGGCGACAAAAAAAGGAGAGAGGGCGTACAGTGCAGTGAGTGTTTGCGGTGGACAGAGAGAGAGAGACAGAGAGCATAGCGCGGCTTGCCCATGGCTCGCCCAGCGCCGCATCCCGCTGTCAGGTGGAATGAGTTATGTTTGGGTGTCATCCGCATGGCACAGATCCCGCACCCCCACGCTCCCCCACCACCTTGCTCCGCTCCTTTTCAGTGTTGAACCAATACCCGACCCGCCTTGCACACCCTTTTATTTTTTTGCCCCTAACGGATTCCCCCGTCTCCTCCCTCCCCCTCTAACGACAGAACACACAAAAGGAGGGTACTACTACACCGCGGGTGTGTCGCTGTTTTCATTTCGCGTCCCACTTTTCAGCCCCCGGGTCACGGGCGTGGCGCTGGCTGGGGCAGGTCGGAGTGCGGATGGGTTAGCCTGTGCCTTTTTGACTCAAAGAAAACGAGGAACTTCTCGCGAAGCAGATAGGCAATTTGAAAACTGCCTTTCATTTCCCTGTTGGGTTACTTTCGGGAACGACGGTCACCCTTGCCTGGATTTGGCTCCCTCTGTTCGTTTCGGGGCTACCCTCGGCTACCTTTGGTTCTTTCGGCGGGCTAACCTTGGCTACCTTGGGTTCTTTCGGGGTCAACCAGGGCTACCTTGGGTTCTTTCGGGGTCAACAAGGGCTACCTTGGGTTCTTTCGGGGCTGACCTCGCCTCCTTGGATTCCTACCCTCGGCTACCTTGGATTTTTCGGGGTTACCCTCGCCCACCTTAGGTTCTCCCAAGCCCCCTTCGGGCTGGGCCCCCTTCGGGCTGGGCCCCCTTCGGCTCCCTTCGGGCACCCTCGGCCGGTGCTGTGCCTTGCAGGCTTTGCAGGCTTTGCCGCATTGGCTCTGTTCCAGAGACATACTGCAGCAGCCACCACATGACGGTGCTATCCAGGCCATCCAGGACATCCAATTTGAATCTGAATATTGCGCCGCCGCAGCCTACCGCCATTGTTTTCAGGCAGATGAGTCGGCCTTGTCCTACACACCGCCAAGGCGCTCCGCACCCTCACAAAAGAAGACGACACTTTCGCATAATTTGCGCCGAAAGTATTTTAAGCGCGTAGCGTCAAACGCGGCACGGTAGAGCGGCAGCCAGGCCCTATATCCGCTTTCTTTACTGCCCATCTTGAATTCGTCTCACGAAGAAAACTTGTCCTCGCGCGGGTTGCCACTCGGCGCGCCCAGCTCCACAGGGCGCGGCAGATACAGACCGCTAGACCTTGGACTGGCAGCGAAAGCTTTCTCTTTGCGTTTCAAATGGAGAGTGGGCGGGAATGGTTTTTGAGTAATCTTCCTTTTAGTGAGGGGAGAGGGGAGGGGGGCATCACTTGAGTGGAGAAGCGGCGGAGGGGAGGGGTCACGAGGCGCTGAGGCGGGTTTAAGCCTCCCACCGTCGATTCCGTTCCAAATCGTATTCCCCAACACGATTCCTTGCACACAAACAGACCGCCCAAAAGGCGCAGTCGTGTCTCTACCACTCTCTGTGGATAAAAACTGTTTAAAAGCTTTCGTTTTTTTTGTTCCTTCGCCCGCACCTGTTGGTTGTCACCTCGGGGTCTACCCGCAAAAAAACACGAGTTCGATTTGTAATTTCTCGAGAGACTCCCGATAGCGTTTTATAGTGCCCTTTTTATTCCTGCATGATTCCTACTATGCAAAAGCAAATCATGACCAAAAGGAAAGAAACGTAGCTCTGCTCGTGCACTGAAAATCACCTGCCGCCGCTGTAAAAAGCCTTTTGACCTTGATTTACTTGCCGTATGACAGCTGTTAATTTATAGGCCGCCATGACAACCACGCCCTCTGCCGTGTTCGTCGCAGCGGCCCATTACCGAACTTAATTAAGACTTGTTTTCATATTTACATAATTTTGGCTAATGCGGACCGCTCGGTGCAACACGCACTGCAGACTTCTCTCTCAGCGCCCCCTTCCTTGGCTGAGCCTCATTTCGACCATTTCTCTCTCTCTCTCTCCCTCTCTCTCTCTCTCTCTCTCTCTCTCTCTCTCTCTCTCTCTCTCTCTCTCTCTCTCTCTCTCTCTCTCTCTCCTTTCCCGCCGGCGCGCATTTGTGCGGTATCTTCAAACAGCTCCAGGCACCTTGCAAACTTCCTGCAGCCGTTTCCGTCGTTCATTCCCTTCGCTGCACCGGCTTCCCGGCACGCCTGTCCACACAGACGGACCTCCCTGGGAAATAAATAAACCGGAAAAAGGGAAAATTCTAAATAAATCACACGGCCCTGAAACGAAACAAAAAAGGGGGGAAAGAAAAAAAGCGCAAGAGGGATGCGGTTGAAGGGGAGGTGAAAATGGCTGAGCACGGCGGTGAAGGTCACAGATGCTTGAAGCCAAACGAAGCAGAGAGAGAGAGAGCTGGAAAACGGGTGGAAAGAGGGGGGAAAATGAAAGGAAATTGCAGAGAAGAGCAGAGGAAAAGGGGACGACGGGAAAAGGGCAACGCGAGAGGGGCCGCCCGTACTTGTGACTCGCACCGGCAGAGCGCGCAGAGGGGATTCAAATCATTTATCTTCGGCTGCGAACCAGCACCACCCTGGACCGAGAGCCCTGGGCATCCCTGGGCCCTGTCCGCCTGGGGTCCGAGCTCTGCTAGCAGCGCTCCCGTAGTCCGGCGGTCTGCTTGCACGCGGCTTCAAACTGCTCGACGCTGGCGACGTCCCCGGCACCTGGTCAGGTGAAGGGGTTTAATCCGACGGAGTTCCTTCGTCGGAGTTCCCCGGCGAAAGTGGCAGAGATAATTAATTCCGACGCGGTGCGATCCTCGGCGGTATCGACAGAGAGAGAGGGGTGCGGCTGTTGTGGGGACGCCAGGAGGCGTTACTTTAAAGAGTGGTAACTCCTCAATTTGTGCCCGTCAATCCCCCTTCCCCCTTTTTTACCCCGCCAACTTCATTGAGTAATGATGGATGGCGTCGATTATGATGAGGGTCGATTAATGATTTTGATGGAGTGGTGGTGACTCGTCTAGGACTTCCCTCAGTCCGCTTCCAGTGCGACTCTATAAATGCGACTCTTGGCCGCGGAAATGGCGACGGCCAACATCGTGTTGAGGAATGAGGCTGCCTGCTGCACTGCAGCTGCCTGGCTGGCTGCCTGCAATCACGAAATGGATCGCTTCGATAACACAGGCTGACAGTGAGGACGGACGGAAAGGAAGCCGGGAGGGGGAGGCTGCCGAGGGCTGCCGAGGGCTGCCGAGGCCGAGGGTGGGGCTTGCTCTGCTGGCTCCACTGGCTGCGCTACAGTGAGGCAGGTCGCGAAACTCGGTGCCAAGGCGGTGCCCCGACCCACCGCCTTGCCCTTGGCCGGGGGATAGAGGAAGAGGCAACGGAACAGAGATACAGAGATAGCAAGGTGGATTGTGTAGATAAAGGGGTCGGCGACGTTTGGCCCTACTTCCGCTCTTCTCACTACGTCAAAATGGGATTGAAGGAAAAGGGAATAAAACTATTTGAAAAAATATCATCGGCATGTATTTGACCACAAAATACAGGAGCGAACAGAGAACAGACGCTGCTATGGAGCAACCCTGGTAAGCGAGCGAGATTCCGTTCAGTGATTTGACAAAGATTGTCCTGCAGTCAATTGGGTTCTACAGAAACACAAAAGCGAAGGCTTAGGCTGCCCTTTTCGTACACGGGCCTCAGCTCACTTTCAACTTCGACACCAGGGGTCAATGCAGCCACAGCGATCTCCTGACTGGGTGGCATAGCCATCCGGGTTCTGCTGACCGGCGAGGAACTGCTGGCTGCATCGATGCTGATTGTCAGATCCTGAAATTGAGCTTCAGGTGTGGTGGCGGCCTCCCCTCCACCTTTAAGCCTCAAAATTAAAAACAATGTGGAGCTTCTAGTAATATGGTAGTCAGAAACAGTCTTGCCATTTTCACACTGTATTCCAGCTACTACAAGTCTTTGTTGGTCAACAGGGATACCCTCCAGATCCATTATTATACGTTTCATTTCATCAATTGTCGTTGACTTCGTTACTTCAACAAACTGTGCTTTGCCAGTAAGAGTGACTACCTTAACAAAAAACTTATTCGTGTCACCTCCTATGTCATACCAAGTACAGTGACTAAGATTGAGTGATGATTCTCGTGAGTTCTTGACCACCGGAGCCAGATTCATCGTAAACCAGGTTTTCGTACCGGCATGTGCCACCATGTCCCCGTCCGTCGAAGCATCTCTATAAAGAGAAACATTTTGTTTCAATTCAAAGGAAGTTGCGTTCTTTTACATTGCTGATTAATACTGCAAATGAAGAAAATGCTAAGCTCACCTAGTGATCTTTGCTTCCTTATGCAGGTGCAGCAGGCGGCTCTCGTTAACGCGATGCAGCACTCCGTTGTGCTCGCGGAGTAGGGTAAAGAAGCACGCTGGAGAGATGCCGAGGTTCGCGACCGCAAAGGCGAGCTTGCCGGGCTTGGGAGCCACAAAATGTACCGTGCGGGTGTCGGCACCAACAACGACCGAAGGAACGCAGGACTCGGAGTCACATCTAACAGTCACAAAAAGAAGCCGGCGATCTGATTCGTCTTGCACAGCTGCCATTTCAAACGGCAAAAGATCCCTTGAATGTGACAAGAACGCTGCGTCTGCTCGTCGGTGAGGAGACTCGTCTGCTTTGGCCGATCGCTCGGAACTGCGGGCAAAATACAATGTAGCGTGTTATCTTGGAGATAGGGTATCGCGGGATTCATCAGGCGTGTTTCTTGCAACTGCATGGCTGTTTATCAGGGCGTGCAGTTGCATTGCCGGTTTCAAGATAAGGCAGTCGCCAGACAGTGACGTCATTGCGACAGTCTGTGCTTCGATGACGCAGATGAAGCGTATTCCCCACTTGGAGCCAGGAGATCGAGCCGTGCAGTCGGAGCAGGCCCCTAAAGGGACGCAGCCAGGCTTACCTTTCACCTTTCTTCGGCAAACTCCTTTCCCCTGTTCTAATCCTGCCGCAGCATCCGTGCGAGAGTGCCATTTATTGCCCTCTCACTCCGATCCCCGTCTGTTGGACCGTGTCTATTTGTCCTTGTCCCCGGCCATTTGTCGCTGTCTTGTCCCTTTCCGCGCTGCCCTGGCCGGCCCCTGTGGCCGAGCCGAGCGTCCCCCCCCCCCCTCCCAGACTCCATCCCCCATCTTTTCCCTTTCTCCAATTTTTTCACTTCACTCGTCTGACGCGGAGCAAGCCACGCGATGGAACCCATATCCTTCCAGAAGATACCCCTCGCCGGCGTGGTGATTGAGGTACCCCTTCCGAACGCATCACCCTGGGCCACGAGCCCGTCGCAGGCCGACAAAATTCACGGCGCGTTTCGAGCTACACAGTCGCTAAATGGAACTCGAACCGAACCTGTGACCCGACCTACGGATTGCTCCCGGAACGAGGAATCCATTGATAGGGTCACACGTCTGGTTCGGGTCCTGTTCAGCGACTCGGGAGCTCAAAACGCGCCTAGAGTTTTGGCCGCTCCCACCGCTTCCAAAACATTCGGCCCAAGACCATTCTATTTGCTGCATACACTGAAAATATCTTGACCGCGCAGGTGAAGAGCGACTGGCAATGCTGTCGGTTTTTGACAGGGCATTTGCAAGTCCAGCTCTCGGCTGCCCCTCCGCGCCCCTCCGGGGAACAGAGATGGTGTCCGAGTGGAGGCGGTCTTCTGTCCTTGTTGCACACACGCCAGGATGGCGACGCTGGCGCTGCAGAGCGGCGGCGGGGAGAAACGCTCTGCTACACTGTCATAAGGAACAATGGGCCTCACCCATGCAAAACACAGCCGGCGTGTAGTACAAGTTGGGTCCCTGTGGCCCCGAGGGCCACGCCAGGGCTAGGCCGTGGGGCGTGTCTAGCCTCGCGCGGGGCCTCTGGAGACCTAGGGGGCGAAGATGAGCCACGTCGGACCAAGCTCTTTCCACAGTGGCGTCGGGACCCGGGTAGTGTTTCAGAGCAGAAGTACAGTGAAGAATCAAAACTTTTTAAATTTTAAATCAAAAGGACACAACAGGAACGATGCCGTTGAAAATTCTCCTTCTTCGAACCAACAAAAATAGCAAATACAGGTTAGTTGAGTTTGGTTTCAATTGGATTCTTCCGACACGGGCTAGCGTTTTCGTACTTTGCTCTAAGCTCTCTTTGAACAGGAAGCTCCAGGCGTGACTGATGCCATAACAATCAATGTCCTGACTCGGGAGCACCACCGGACAGCCTTAACATCAGGTCTCCAAAATAAGGGAGATGTCTCTGTACTTTGTTTTATTTTTAAACAATCTGCGGTGGGAGGGACTCGATGACTGGTGCGCTTGCCAGCTTTCGATTAATCCCAACGTTATCATTCGTGACCACTGTATTTATGGATGTCTGGCTGCGTGGAGACCACAGCCCGCTGTGGCAGATTACAGCCTGGGCCGGAGCAGACGGGTACACGCTTGCGATTTTACCGCGTCTATGTTCTCTTCTCAGCTTAAAAACAGGGTAGGAAAGGTTGTGCTGAACAACAGACTTTACTCATCTTGTTAAAACGAGCCGTTACGTTTATAGGAGGGTAATGAATGAGCCAGAAAAATGTGGCAATGCTCTTCAAAAAGCAGAAAAAGTGAAAAAATATAACGAAATAATTGTGGGTTTTGGAAACATTGCTGGTGGTAGCATGCAGGATCGGCAAAAGTTTCCAAGAACGAAGGCGAGGTGCTGGGTTGATTGCTGAGGCCATGCAGGCAAAGCGGCCAGGGCTCGCAGCCCCCAACAGACTGACTCCGAAGGTCGACTTCGTCGCTCTGTCTCTCTCGCACCTTTGCGGGGCACCCCTGCAGTGCGAGTGAGACAGAGCGACAGGCCTGCGTGGGACGTGCGACCCATGAGTAACGACGCAGCGATTGTCTCCCTCGCACGCAAGGGTCATTCCCGCAGCGGTGGGAGAGAGACAAGCACAGCTGGGTGCACCGCCCCCGCGGCCGGCTCCAGATCAGCCCCGGGCCAGGGACTCCGACGGATGCAGGGGTCCCCGAGCCGCCATGCCTCGGCCGGCCGGCCCAGCCCCGCTTACTTTTGTCAGAATTGCCCCAACTCTTTCCCTCCAGATATGCTCGGGATTGAATCGCGGCATCGATACACCAGCTTCCGCCCGTCCCCGCGAGTCCCGGCCAACCCAGAGCCTGCTGCAGGGCAGCCGCCAGGCCAGCCGGCAACTTCCACACAAGCCAGGCCGCCGCAAAGTCGCTCCAGCCGTCTGCACCGATACGGACTCCGCGTTCGTTGAAAACACACACCCTGCACTGTAAAACATTTCGTTCTTTTGTACGGAAATGGTACAGAAAAATATAGTACGGAGGTACGGAGAAAAGTACGGAACATTCCGTACTTGCTCCATATGAACCCATGTAAATGGGCGCGAAAAAAAAAAGTACGGAACGTTCCGTAGTTGGCAAGTACGGACGGTCCAGGCAAATTATAGACCAGACATGTTCCGTACTTTTTTCTCACAGTGTGGCACGTACACTTTCCCTTTGTCTCGCCATGTCTGTCTACACAAAATGCCTACAACCGAGTTTAATTGCTAAAATGTTCAAATTTGCGGACCTCTCACCGAGGCGGCCGTGCAAATCGTTCGGCAGCACTGGTTAGGCAGCACGTGCTCCGTGCGGCGACTCTGGGTACTGAATGAAGTGCGTGATGCTGCACACGCAGGTCGTTACTGCAGGGCGTTACTCCAGGAGGGCGTTACTGCAGGAGAGTGTTACGCAGGGCGTTACTGCAGGGCGTTACTGCAGGGCGTTACTCCAGGAGGGCGTTACTGCAGGAGAGCGTTACGCAAGGCGTTACTGCAGGAGAGCGTTACGCAGGGCATTCAGGAGGTTACGCAGGGCGTTACTGCAGGAGAGCGTTACGCAAGGCATTACTGCAGGAGAGCGTTACGCAGGTCATTCAGGAGGTTACGCAGGGCGTTACGCAGGGCATTCAGGGCGTTACGCAGGGCGTTACGCAGGGCGTTACTGCGGGGACTAATCTGGGCCCTCATCTGGCGCAGCGCGCGGCGCAGCATGTTGCCGGCGACCGCCAGCTGCTAAAGCACACCTGAAACTTGGTCCCTGCCAAGCACGACTACAAAGGGCCCACCCTGCCTCTCCCCTGGCTGCGCCCGCCCCGCCCCGCCCCGCCCCGCCACGTCCCGACCGGCTGGTGTGGCCTGGACAAGATTCCCGAGGGCACGGCACGGGCGCTTATGGGACCGACCCGATCCGACGCGCGGGGCGGTTCGATATCCCAAGGACGAGTATTTATTTACAGAAACGAAAAAGATACTGTTTCAACACAAAATCTTAGTACTGTCAAGGTGAATTTTAAAAGCATGGCGATTTTTTAAAAATTAAAATATTGTCCACATTGTTGCGGGGCATGTGATTTTAGACTCGTGACCTATCATAAAACAATATGTTCTTCCCGACATTTTTTTTTTCAAAAGCGGAGAAAGCGACCCATGCAAAGCTAGCGGGAAGACCCCGTGTGTGTTGTGGCGGCACGTTTCGCGCAGTCGGCGAAGTGGCGCAGTTGGGTGCCGAGTTGTCTCGATAAAGAGATATCGACTGTGCAAGTATCGAGATATCGAAGTGACGTGTGCGACGCCACCGCGTGTGTGTGTGTGTGTGTGTGTGTGTGTGTGCTAATGCAGCCGGCCCACCCTCCGATACAATCCCACCGCCGATCAGGAACCAGGGGACCAGGGGCTCGGTCAGGGGCGTGCCGGGAGAGGGGGGGGGGAGCGGAAATAGCCCCTCCCTGGGGCAGGTACAAACCACGGGATATCGGCGTGACCGCTACCGCTTGAGACGGCCTACACTAGTAGGAACGGCATGCGAGAAGGCGGCCAAATGCACAGGCTGCAGGTGAAACGATTGAAGTTGTAACGATTAAAATGATTCAAGTTGAAAGAATTTTCACTTTTTTTTGGAAAGTTGAAATTTTTTTTTGTGTTGTTATGGGTCCAACCATTCGGAGCAACCTCTGCAGCACAGTGGGCCAGAAGACCGGCGCTGGCGGCAAAAACTCTACAGACGTGTTTTGAGCTCCGAAGTCGCTAGATGTGACTCGAACTGACCGTTTGGCCGCACCAATTGCTCTCCGAACGGAATCCATTAGTGGGGTCACACGTTCGGATAAGTCCCGTCGGTTTCGCTACTCTGGGGCTCCAAACGCGTCTTTGGCCGCCTGCGCCGGTCCCCTAGCCCACCGTGCACCGGCCTCTGCCCTTTGGCACCGCGACATCGGTGGATATCCGACTGGCGCCCTCTGTCTCACTCGTGGACCGTCCGACGGAGCGACCGAAGGTTCGGCCTGCAGACGCAACAAAACCGAAAGCGTGGCGCTAATGTGCCCTCAGGGGCTGACCCACACAAACGGGAGGACAGACGGACGGACGGACGGACGGACGGACAGACAGACAGACAGGTGGCGCGCAGCCCCGAGGAGCAGTGCCGAAAGTAAGGCGACGCGTTACCTCCCCCTATCCTCACCTCCTGTCCGACTTGTCCCCGCGGGCCGGCCCTATGACAAGGCCACAGAACGGGGCGATGTTACAACCCCTCCCCTTCACACACACACACACACACACACACACACACACACACACACACACACACACACACACACACAC